TACGCTACGTATATATATATATATATATATATATATATAATATGAAACGGCGGAATGGCTGGAGATGAGCTCACTTCTGAAACCGTTTGTCAGCCTTCGACACATGTTGCGCCGGTTGGAGGCCAGATCACCTGTCAAGAGTGGAGTATACATTACACATCGCGGTCCACACCACTTGATGGATAAGTGATGTGGCTCCTGCACGCAGAAGATACAAGAAAACCCTCGTTGCATGTTCATCGGTACCTCCGAAGCACTGCTTGATTATGATGAAAACGTCCGAATGGCAATGTTGAGGTACGCCAGTTGATTCTAGGGAACACATCGCCCGCAATGGGGTGGTCGAACTTCAAAGTTGACGGCGATTACCTCATAAGCTTCGCGTTCAACAGGAGGGTACATGTCATAGGGCACTCTTGGTGTTGTGTGGACTAACCTAAAAGTACGATCTGAAAATGGAGTCTGAATAACCCAACAAGTAAACTCAATCAGGCTGGTAACTACCGTCTCGCTGAATGAGGCCTTCGGAGCGTGAAACACTGAGATACGGATCTTAGTCACCCAGTCGGTGGCGCTCCAAAGAAATACCTATTGCCCTCACTGTTGATCTGCCGAATTTTCCACCGTATCAGACAACCACAACAAGCCAACACGAATTAACTGAATAAGGCATCGCCCATAATTTTCCCACTCTGCTGTTCTATCTTCCAGTGGACAAAATATGGAGGCCGAAAGCTCAGTATACCGTTTGCAGCTAACTGAACTGGAATGCTCAGAGGGGTCCTAGCAATCACAAAAAAATACCTTTTCAATGAATATCCCGAATGAGAAAGAATAGACCAATTCTTTGAATACCGAATCTCTAAAACAGCGACGGGTTGCATCTGTATCTGGATACTGGTAGGAAAACGCGAGCAATTAGAGAGTAGGCTGTTAGGTCGAGGGCTTCGATCAGGAATGCTAATAGTCGTTCCAACAAGGTTTGGAATGTGTTCTCCCTCATTCAGCTATGAATAAGTCGAGCACCAACAGTACCATTGTTTACTGCAAATTGATGAGTGGCATACGTTGTTATTAGGCAAACTTACTGGTGTGCAAATGAGCAGTTCACAACCTGCCTCACAGGCTTTCTGTTGCTCCCACAGACTTCCACCACCGTAAGCGCAAACGGTGGTAAGGTTGTAGACCTTGGCTAACTTTTTTGCTTCCGTGTAGATTTGCTGGGCCAGTTCGCGCGTCGGGGCACAAACGACTGCAATCGGACCATCACCCAGCTTCAAAGGGGGCTTGAGAAGAAACAGAAGCAGGGGGATGGAATCGGTGATAGCATAATGGATATCAATGGTATAGTTCACAAGAAACTAAGACCATCACGGGAAAATACAATTACATGTAATCAGCCACAACAAGGAGTGGCGGAAATGAGAAGCATTTATCGATAATGACCGCTCAGAAACCCTATGAAATGTATCAGCATTGAAATGTGTGAGTTTGTATGAGGCATTCAGAATCGGTAGAAAAAGATGGGAAAGCGTGTTCGCCAAAGTTGCTTTGCTATATGACACCTATTTAGTTTATACAAATAGAACTAGGTACCAACAGATATATGAACTAAATCATTTGAAATATAACAACTATGGTCGCGTATAGCTTGACCAGTTTTGTGTGCTGTAACTTAGCGTAGCACACACTTCTCCGAAAATTGGACAAGTTGTACAGTTAACAGTAACTTTGAGAAGCGACGATGCTGGCGAGAAACGGCGTAACTGAGCGTCCAATTGTTTCATGAGCCCCGAAGTGATCCAAGAACGAATAATATTCACCCAGTTAACATCATTTCGTTGGTAAGTCAAGCAGCTGCCTGTTGGCCAAAGTAATCATGGTCAATTCAGGCTGGCCCATAAGAGTAGAAATTGCTCAGTGTTTGTAGTCATCAGATCCGCCCGACTAAACGGCTACCCACTCATTAGTTTCCAAGCACTTTCCAGTTTCCGATAGCAGTACCTTTGTTACTCAGTCACTCTCACTTGACAAGAAATGTGTGGAAAGCAGGACATCGAATCACTCAAATAGGGTTCCCTAAGGAAATTACATTGGTTTCAGTTCGAATCTCATATGTGGTCCCAGATTAACCCCACTAGCCTGAAAAACCAACTGGACGCGTGAGATTATATGGACGGAACTATCATAGTACAAACATCAAAGATGGAACTGAGCATAACCCGGCGCCCCCCTCCACGGAACCTAGCCTTACACCAAAACCCCTATAAGATGAATCACTCAAAAGACTCATCCTTAGTGACCGATTATAGCAATTTCAGTCGAATGCATGTTCCCACCTTCTGTTCATGCCAGCCGCAACCGTTTTTTCGAACAGTGAACATGAAATAGTGGGGCAAATTTCCAATCAGGAAAAGGCGTCCAGCACGCCATTTTCAAGAGACCGTTCGCAGCCTATCCTGTAATGGGTGGCTGTAAATGGGTCTCCTTATTTTGTATTGGTTTACAAGAGAGGAATGAATTATATAATAAGCCGTTAAAAATCTGAGTCCACTGTTTAGCCGTGTGCTGTGTTATCGTTCCACCGGTCTCAAAGGATCTAGGGGAAAGCACTCATGCGACACCTCCTTGCGGCAACACAATGGAGAGGAGCGCTGATCCACAAGCTTTAACAGTTTCAGGTTCACAAAAGTTTAAATCAAATTTCAAACGAACTTGTGAAGTTGACGATAAGCGAGAACATTTCGTTAAAGATACAAATGATTCCAACCTGTACTTAATCAACTGAACGTACTGAACTGCACCTTTACGCGCAGATTCCAGGCATCACACATGACTGATATCACCGGGTTGATGAGTTGGGTCTGTCCGACAAACTAGTTACCATCATTTGCAATCAGACGTAATCCGAAAGAAATCCAGCTGTACAGTTGCATATGCATGGATTGGTACAATTTATAATTGCTCAATTCGACCTTGAATAACCTCTGGGCTTTCCCTGTTGTTTTTTTGGCTGACCTGTCCTCTGATCAGTGAATGTCCAGGTAGCATTGAGACTTGACCCCTCAGGTTCCCTCCACTGAGACCTTTGTCGCTTTATTTCCACAATGGATCCCGTTTGTTGCCCTAGACCGAATCAATGTTATCACTGAGTTGGCTATCCCTAGCTCGTATCAATATGTAGATAAGGTCAATTTCGAAATGCCGGTTGATTGAATCCTCTGCGGAATATTATTCGTCTGGGGTTCCTCCCCGCGTCTTGAGCTTCCTAGTGCTACGACCTTCAAGTTCTCTACACTAAACCTGCGTTCTTCGCGATCTTCATGTGTGGAACTAAAATATAGTGATCATGTTTCCTATAGAGGGAAACGTCGGTAGCTCAGGTAGCGTAGATGGTCGTTGGCTAGTTCGCTGAGCTGGGCGAACAAGCCAACGACCATAGTGATCATGTCTTTAGATAATCGCGTTGAGACCTCTTATCCGCGTAGAAGGTTTTCTTTGTCCAATACACTGGTTGTTGCAGTCCGTACAGCTGATCCGGCACACGTCGTTGCTGATTGCGTCCTTCTCGTTCTCGTCCTTTGGTCATCAATGTACATACACGGAGGAATCTAAGGGAGCAGGGTGCTCCACAAAGGATTCAATCAACCGGCATACCTAAATCGACCCTATCTACACACTGTCACGAGCTAGAGACCACCAACTCAATGGTAACAGAGTCAGCCTCGGCTATCAGATCAACGGACCAAGAAACGGAAACCACTGTGGAGAAAAACGAGGAAGGATCACAGAGGGTGGGGGACTGGAGAGGTCAAGTCTCGGGGCTACCCATACAGACGGCCAATGATCAGTCAGGGTCAACCAGAGTGAATAGACTCAATATCAACCCAATCACGTGCAACAAACACACTCCCCACCTCAGTGCACTAATGATGTTAATTCGACTGGCGATTTAACATTCTCAGCCACGGCTCGGTAAGAGAATGGGATGTGTGGTCATTTTGCGAAGATGTGGCTTACTCAGAAAACAAATCCGTAAGTTCTACCAGTCAAATTGTATCAGCGTGAGACAACCATAGTGCGACGCAAGTAATAAAGCTGAAATATGTCTAATTTCTCATGAGGATTGACAGTGCTGAAAAAAATCAATTGAGCAGTATGATAGGAAGCAAACGAGCGCTCCATCATATTCTGTTGCTTTTAAGAGACTAAGTTATTCAGCCACTCTGACTTAAGGCCTTGCCACTCGGCTCAGCAGACAGTGATATCTCTACCTTAATGAAAATGGAATGACAGTGAAATATTCTATATTTTCTGCTCAGACAACACCCATATTATACTATGTTGGAAAAATCTACACTTTGGAGGTCCAGTAAGTATTATACTGGCACTTGCGTTTTCGAGGTTCGCAAGTTGGAATAAATCCAAGTCCATTGATAACCCATAGAAGCATGCAACTTTCGGAGGAGGACCAGAGAGAAGCTGTTCTAAACTGACGATCGATGGATGCCGTTGCACATACCTGATCCATGATATGAATAATCGCCGGCCACAAGAATGCCGCAGTTTTCCCACTACCCGTTTTGCCAATACCGATCACATCACGTCCGGCCATCACCAAAGGCACGGCTTGGGCTTGTATAGGAGTGGGTTTCGTAAATCCAGCTTTACGAATCGCTTCCAGCAGGGGTTCGTCCAGACCCAGATGAGCGAACGAACAGACCGGACGGAGTGGGCTTGGACCACTCACACGAATTCCCAATTTTTCACGTAATTCAGCCACATTCGCCTCGCTCAGATTGGTAATCTCCTCGTGCTCGATGTAGAAGTTTTTAGCGAATGGAGCATACTTGATTACTGAATGGTCGACGGGGGGTAATGGGTCAATCATCTAAAACAAGATGAACATGGACAAGCGTGTTTTAATCGATAGGCATTCAGAGGCCCTCGTTAACCGATTAGCAAGAAGCAAAATTAGGTCACGAAGACACACTGACTGGATTCATGAAATGCAAGAGCGAGAAATGTGTTCTGCTTCGCACTCAAGGGAGGCTCAGGCGATACAGAAACGTTGCATCACTGTTCCCCTTACTTGTGTCGTTCAAGTTGCGAATGACAGGTTACGGAAAAGAGGTTCGATGAGTTACGTTTAACAGTGCAGAGCTTTCGCAAGATCAGAGTACACATAGATCTTCTGCACTATTGTCGTGGGCTCTGATACTTCTGACTATTCGCTCCGGATGGGCACACTTACGGATCGAAATTCTTAAACACCTCGGACGCAGTCCATAGGTGGCAAGCATCTTCTCTGTTACACTTGAAAATCTCCACAATATTGAGGATTCCAAGTACTTTACTTGCACGTGAATGAGTGTGGGTAGCTTTTTTCATACTTAGAGTACCGAAGGAACGAAATGCTGTGGGTCGTCTGCTGAAAAAGGTGTATGGGAACCAATGTTCTAACACTTTATTCCAGTATAGACTGAATCCCTACATGAAAGGAAGCTGACTCTCACAGTTCGCCCCACTACTCAGTGTGAGCGCAGGTTGCACCTGCCCGACTCCGACAATGCCCTCAAATTTATAGGTAAGCAGAGGCAAAACTAATCGATTCATCCAGTTTGGTCTCCAACAAAAACCAGTAGGTCACAGCGTCTAAAAAAGGCTGAGGATTAAGCTTTAGCATATGATGACATGTGGTTCATAGTGTTGATGGGACAACATTTTATGTTAGAGGGCCAGTTCCCAAAGCCAACAAACGAGGTTGTTTCGAATATGCGTGCGTAGGCAGTGTTTGCGTACACAGTAAATCGCTTTCTATTCACAGGTCCCATAAGAACTACTAACAGTGCATTTTATCCCTAGTGCGTATGAGATGCTAGATTTTGAGAACGTCGTCGCTTCTGCTAATACCATGCACACGTTTTCATCATTTCCCCACAGTTCCTCCTGTCACCGCTCATGCGACATGTATGTGGTGAATTTCATTGCAATTGATTTTATGTTGAGTGCATGACGGGATACAGTAAGCTCTTTCACCAAAACTGGATAACTTAGTGTACAACTGCAAATTGGCTTGCAGGCAAATTGTTGCGTGAAGCACAACAACATGACTCGGTGATAGGCAGTTCCTTGTAATCCCGATGCTCGCACCACCCTACCCTAAGGATACCTGTATTTGTATCCGAAAAGACACCCGTCCAGAGAGGTCACTCTCTTGATAAGTCCATAGATAATTCTCCATCAGCGGCAAACTACTTTCCGAGAATAGTTGCGACATTACCATGAGATGCTCTTTTTTATGGGGCCTAGACGTAGGCAGCACTATCGATTATCTGATCGTTTGATAGACCTGTGGAAGTTTGTGAAGACGGTTAACGAGGGCGCTGTTCTATTACAGTGTCAGCCATGCGAACTAAAAGTATGCAGACCCGGATAATGGAGAAATAAGATCGAGGGCCATCAATTCGAAAATCTGGGCCCGAAGCTCACATGGGCCCCTTTTGATTGGCTAGCTCTTCCCGTCTCAACTTCTTGCGTAAAGATATCATGAGGTAGTACTTAAAAAACCGACAAACCCAAACCCACCAGCTGATTAGCTGTTGCTATGCTATGGTGTAGAGAAACAGTACTGATGCGTCAGTACTGAAACCCCCAATACATTTTTGGAACGTGATTTCAACCGAAAAGAGCAGGCAAGTGTTGTGTGATTGTGCTCGAAACTACTATCTGGAAGATTGAAACTTTCAGCCTCCTTGACTTTCGTAAGGCGCACAGTGTCGATTATTCCGACCAAGGATGACAAGGCGTTACGGCACTTCTCGTTTTTTTGGGAGTAAGTGGCCTTTCAAAAGAGAGTTGAGGCCAAAATTACCTTCAAATAAATAATATAATTGTTCAGCCGTAACACCCTTTCGGTGCCTAACTGTCACGCCACTAGAAGCACGAGGGCTGGGATACTGTCAGGTTGCCCAGGCAGAGGTCGGGTTCGAACTACAGACCTTCCAATCAGAAAACTGGCGCTCTAACCACTGAACCAATATAACCAGCAATTGTACGTTACAAACGTTACAAACCTAGTGGAGAAAGTGCTTTGCGGTCTTGACGCGAGGATTGGTGGTTCCATACGAGTCACGGTGTGCAGCACAGAGATGCACTCAGTGAGAAGTAGCACACACTAGAGTTTGATCGCATGGTCACTGCCTAAGATAGGTGGATTCCAGCCTGGCATCCGTCCCATGCTACCAAACATCTCGCAAGGAAGCTGATTAATAGAACAGAAACTTTTGGGCACCCGAGCATTGGGTTTTGGCGTTCGGCTTTAATCTCCGGAGTGTTACAAACCAATTGAAAACACGAATTAATGGATAGTCTCCTGTCAGGAAACTCCCAGGTATGAGTGAACCACCCAACCGCAAAGACAACCGACCATGTCGATGGCTTGCTATTCACTAAGATGCCAGAAAACATTCTCACCTTTTTCTCCGTGCCGATTATATTACCCTCTGCGTCGTATTCATAAGCTTCTTCTTCGTCGTCCATATGCAATCCCAAGTGAGGGTTTTCCTCCATAAATCGTAAATACGACTCCACCGCGTCCTCTTGTTCTATGTCATCCCGAATACCCCTGAGTTGCGTGGAGGAACGTGGTTGAAGTGTGCGTTAAAAAACAGACCATAGATGAAGTTGCCAAAGGCGGATAAAACTTGAGGGACCACGTCTCACTGGTGGCTGTAGAGTGTTGATGGACAGTGTCCACGCATTAGGCTCAATCAGTATTGATAAAATAAGACAGAACAATACCAAGACCAACGTAATTCCGTTCCACGAAAAACGAGATCATTTGGAGGGGAATACAATCACATAATCCGTATTTTCTCCGTGAAAGGACACATGAAGCCACTTTTTGCAAAAGTAAAACAAAATATTCTGATTGGATAAAAATACATTCGCTACTGGAAAACTAAGACGCTATAAAACAGCTGAAGAGCAGCCCCAACGACACTTAAAATTAGTGTGCATAAGACAAGGTTTCTGCCTCTTCTCGTCACTGCTTCTAGTGAGTCTTTTGACGATCAGCCAGATTTGATCTAAGTACAGCAACAATGTGAAACAAGGTAACAATGGGCACCCTCAACGAGTGACTTACGCAGGAAAGAGATGAAGGTAGCCGCCAGAGGAGCAACTCACAACTGAGCCCGTACTATGGCTTGCCAGTACTGTGTGCTTGAGTTAAATACTTCCCTATGCACCTAGCCGTCAAGTTAGCCCGGTGAATTGAGTGTTTCGATTGGCAATAACACAGAATCCGACCTATTGTGATACCGTAGAAGTTAAAAGTACCTGAGAAGAAGTTATAAGACCATTCAAATTACCGTTAAATCTCGAGGAGCTTAAACGAGCGACATGGTTCCGTCGCTCAACGTCACAGATAGTTTCCATATTCTTGTATGGATTAGGAAGATTCACGCAGGTCCCAACAGGATCCTTCAACTCAGTTGTGGGATAATAGACCGCTGTGCATGCGCACGTATGATGTGCCCCTATGCCAGAAAAGGAGGTAAGTGGCCCGAAGCGGAAGGCGCCCTACACAAGTACAATTAGACCGTTTTTTTACCAAGCCAATGCGGCTTTTAAAGGGAATTCAACCCGCATTTCTCACATGTGCCTGACAAATCAACCTTGTGATCGCCGAAGTAAATAAACAGGGTCAACCCAAAATGGTCACTCTCTGCCGTAGGCGGTGTTGGACAGGTGGTTTTCGCATTTCGAATTGTGCGGTGGTCTGCCCACACGGCTGACTCCCAAAAAGTCGAATAGTGCTACCGACCCTCCAGATGCAAACCACATTCCCCACATTTATAGAACGACAACCCCCTCCTTGAAGAAACAAACCGGACTGGAGAAACGGACACATTTCTTAAAAGGTGAGCGGTATGATTGCCGCTGCCACTAGTGCTGATGTAACGGTGGATACTACTGACGATGCATGCAAGTAATGTTTTCTCGTAACTTCGCTTTGCGTCTACTGAAAAGTGGGGTTTATTACGAAAGCCGTGGACTTGCATCGTAGCATTCGTTTACATTTGAATGATAGTCGATGAATATCCAGAGAAGTTCAGGAAGACACGTTCGAGAAGAAGACGGACATTTAGTTTATATGAACAAGATGTATATGAGGGTCTTGCTTTCCTGTCCAATGGTTTGTAACTGTGTTCTTTTGGTGTTTTCTAGTGAATGACCCCGCAGCTAAGGCCTTCTACCTTTCATCTGGTGCCGTCATCAGGATAAGGATGAAAATCCCATGGCCACAACCTTTTGAGAATGGTTATGTTCGGACCTTCCTGGAGGACTTCGAGGAGGTTGCGGTTGCTGGACTGGAGACCAATTTCGTACAACTTCTCGGTTTTGCTTGTAAGGAATGCAAACGGAGGATACCAGTTTTGTGTGGATTTCCGGCGTTTGAATGAACTGACCGTAAATCGGGTCGTGGCTGTGCCTTCGGTTGCGGAGATTTTCGATTCCCTCCAGCATTCCCGATATTTCACGATGCCCGACTTGCGTTCCGGATACTGGCAACTATCTATCAAAGCGGAGAACGGACCTAAAGAAAACGGCTTTCACGGTTGGGGACACCGCATATCAATTTAGATGGATACCGTTTGTTTTGTCTGGGGCACCATTCACATTTCGGCACTTGATGCTTCGTTTAACGAAGGGACCCCAGAATTCTGCCGTGTATGGGGACGAGATCGTTGTGTACAGTAATGCGGAGCCAGAACAGGGGATCACTTGAAGGCCGTATTGAAGCATATCCGGGAGGCTGGCCTGCAGATAAATCAAGCCAAGACACAGCTCGCTCGGAGTTCGGTGACACTGTTGGAACATATAAAGTGGGTCACAAAGAGGTTAACCCACCGCTAGAAAAAACTGGCAAAGATCGAGGACTGTGCTGTCCCCAGTTCACAACGGTCCCTACGCACGAGAAGCATACTACAGTCGGTTTGTCAAGGATTTCAACACGATTGCTGCTCCACTGTACGGCTTGCTCGGGCAAAATCGGAAATTCAAATGGACCAGAGAAGCACATGAGGCTTTCGAATGTATCAAAGCGCGGATGCTAGATCACCTACTGACCCTAAAACTGCTCAGGGTCGGAGAGGTGTTCACTGTTGCAACAGACGCTAATGATCGCGGTATCGGCGCAATCCTTAAGCAGAGGAATGGAGTTATCGAATGTCAGTCGTGTCCTGACTAACGCTGAGCAGAAGTACCCGACTATTGAGAAAGAATGCTTAGCTATCGTCTGAGCCCTGGATAAGTGGAGGCCACACCTGCTTGGACAAATATTTCGTGTCAAGACCACTGGAGTGGATCGGGGCCACCAGAGATCCTTGCGGGAAGCTTGCGCGCCGGTTACAAGAGTACGACTTCACGATCCGGCACGTGCCAGGGAAGGGGAACCACCTTGTTGATTGGTTGTCAAGACTAGAGGCTTAAGATGAGGCCCCCACGATCATGACTGGTGCCAATAGCCTCTTCGTCGGACTGCTCCTGTTGGTGCAACTCCAACGGCAGGATCCTGTGTTACGGAAGGTTGCAGCCGCCTTGTTGGAAAGGGAATTGAAAACGGAGAGGGAGCCAAGGAATTGGAAACATTCCATAGTCACTTCGATTCGCTGAGTCTCAATGAAGCTGGCATAATATCCTGAAACGCCACCGATTCGGATGTTGTGCTGACCGTGATACCCCGCGTCTTGAGATAGAAGCTTATCGTTAAATGCCACGAGATGGCACACACAGGGTGCACCAAGACGTACGACTTACTTCGGCAGAGGGCCTACCGGCCCGGGATGAGAAGTGAGGTGATGGATTACGTGGTGTCCTGTAAGCGGTGCCAACTGATGGAACCCTAATTCCCACGCCCGACATTTTAGGATGCACACTGAGTTCTTCGTCCGCACTTCCTCTGTGGACTTCTGAATAGTTGAAACAAATAGCCTGGAGATATCTTCATTTCGGCCAGAGACGAGGTTGCCTGTCAATCAGATTTTGTTTTGCCGTCCGTTCAGTCATCTCGGTTTCTCACAACAGAGAAAATGTAGATGAACACCGCTTCCGGAGTGATACATTTATTTGACTGAGCCATTGGACACCGTCATTTTCAGTAGGTGGCAAGTATATTCGCTGGTATATTCTCTGGTATGTTCTGGGATTGAAATCACTCGCTCTGATTGATTGTTCCACTTTGTCCATGACGTGTTGTGACTAGCCCTTTTCAGATATCTGTTGTATTGTGATGTGGCTATCATTGGTTTCAACTGACTCACCGTCTGTTCACCATATCCGAGGTTTTGTGGTAATCCGTGTGAGGCTGTGATGTCTTCTGTCTACACGAGCTATCAAGATTCCACAACGGCGCTTTACCTGTTTTTCCACTACGCATTTCAGAAATGGTGCTTAAGAATTTTATGTAGTCCAGTTAGGTCGCAGTGAAAAACTTGGCGCTTCAGATCTTTCAGATCGAACGTCCGGTAGGCAAATATCCTGTAGACGTTGTCACTCGCAGAATGGGTCCCTCATGCTTTCATGGCTTTTCCAAATCAGATAGAGTTCTTGTATCCAGAAGTTAGTACATGGGATGATAGAATCCGCACCATTTATGAGTCACCCACATCTCCATCCTCCCACTCTGCACGTAACAGCACCACGGTTATTGTGCACAAAGTATATTAAGGCCGCTCCGTTACAGAGAACGCGTTGTCCTGAAAACCACCAAAGTATTACCAGTTTTGATACTGAACTAACGGAAAGGAAGTCTGTTGGACTGGGCTATTTGATCGCAAACGTTTCATCATTTGAGGTAGCATAATAATGCATCGTTAGTGAAAGTGCCTTGAGCGTGAGTGTGTGATTGTTGCACTGTGTAGACTGAAATGGGGTCTATCCATCCTGGTCGACCCTAACGGATCATTGGCCGTTTGGGTGAGCTGATTGCTTATTGGCTTATCTTCCGATTCGTGAGTGTCTGGGTAACCCTAAGACTGGAACTCTCCGGTTCCCCCGCTATAACCCTTTTACATTTGCCTCCACAGTGAGTTCTCTTTCTTTGTCCGTTGGTCTGAGAGCTGAGGCTGACTCATTGAGTTGATTGCCCGTAGCTCGTAACATTGATTAGACAGGGTCGATGTCGATTTGTCGGTTGATTGAATCCCTAGCGGTGTAGCATCCTTCGAGGAATCCCCTCTTTCTCAGCGATCATTACAACCTGAGCTACCGAAATTCTTTTCACCTGCATGAGGGAAACGATTGTCTCTGGTTTCGATTCACACCAATGATCAATTTTTCGAAAGTTTGCTGGCTGTCAAAGTTATTCCCTGTAAAGAGACCACTTCTGGTTTCTCCCTTGAAGCCTATTTCAACACAGTTCGACAAGCTACCTTGTGTTTTTCTGTTTATTCGAAACCAAAGAGTCGAACCTAAACTTTACCGACCAACCTATAATGTCAATGAAAGGAAGACCTTCGCTGCCGAGTAATTTATCAGAAAACACCAACTGAACCGTTACAAACTATTGGACAGGGAAGCAAGACTCTCATACGCATCTTGTTCATATAAACTGAATATCCATCTTCTTCTCAAACATGTCTTCCTGAACTTCTCTGGATATTCATCGGCTATCGTNAGTTTGTAACGGTTCAGTTGGTGTTTTCTGATAAATTACTCGGCAGCGAAGGTCTTCCTTTCATTGACATTATAGGTTGGTCGGTAAAGTTTAGGTTCGACTCTTTGGTTTCGAATAAACAGAAAAACACAAGGTAGCTTGTCGAACTGTGTTGAAATAGGCTTCAAGGGAGAAACCAGAAGTGGTCTCTTTACAGGGAATAACTTTGACAGCCAGCAAACTTTCGAAAAATTGATCATTGGTGTGAATCGAAACCAGAGACAATCGTTTCCCTCATGCAGGTGAAAAGAATTTCGGTAGCTCAGGTTGTAATGATCGCTGAGAAAGAGGGGATTCCTCGAAGGATGCTACACCGCTAGGGATTCAATCAACCGACAAATCGACATCGACCCTGTCTAATCAATGTTACGAGCTACGGGCAATCAACTCAATGAGTCAGCCTCAGCTCTCAGACCAACGGACAAAGAAAGAGAACTCACTGTGGAGGCAAATGTAAAAGGGTTATAGCGGGGGAACCGGAGAGTTCCAGTCTTAGGGTTACCCAGACACTCACGAATCGGAAGATAAGCCAATAAGCAATCAGCTCACCCAAACGGCCAATGATCCGTTAGGGTCGACCAGGATGGATAGACCCCATTTCAGTCTACACAGTGCAACAATCACACACTCACGCTCAAGGCACTTTCACTAACGATGCATTATTATGCTACCTCAAATGATGAAACGTTTGCGATCAAATAGCCCAGTCCAACAGACTTCCTTTCCGTTAGTTCAGTATCAAAACTGGTAATACTTTGGTGGTTTTCAGGACAACGCGTTCTCTGTAACGGAGCGGCCTTAATATACTTTGTGCACAATAACCGTGGTGCTGTTACGTGCAGAGTGGGAGAATGGAGAGGTGGGTGACTCATAAATGGTGCGGATTCTATCATCCCATGTACTAACTTCTGGATACAAGAACTCTATCTGATTTGGAAAAGCCATGAAAGCATGAGGGACCCATTCTGCGAGTGACAACGTCTACAGGATATTTGCCTACCGGACGTTCGATCTGAAAGATCTGAAGCGCCAAGTTTTTCACTGCGACCTAACTGGACTACATAAAATTCTTAAGCACCATTTCTGAAATGCGTAGTGGAAAAACAGGTAAAGCGCCGTTGTGGAATCTTGATAGCTCGTGTAGACAGAAGACATCACAGCCTCACACGGATTACCACAAAACCTCGGATATGGTGAACAGACGGTGAGTCAGTTGAAACCAATGATAGCCACATCACAATACAACAGATATCTGAAAAGGGCTAGTCACAACACGTCATGGACAAAGTGGAACAATCAATCAGAGCGAGTGATTTCAATCCCAGAACATACCAGAGAATATACCAGCGAATATACTTGCCACCTACTGAAAATGACGGTGTCCAATGGCTCAGTCAAATAAATGTATCATTCCGGAAGCGGTGTTCATCTACATTTTCTCTGTTGTGAGAAACCGAGATGACTGAACGGACGGCAAAACAAAATCTGATTGACAGGCAACCTCGTCTCTGGCCGAAATGAAGATATCTCCAGGCTATTTGTTTCAACTATTCAGAAGTCCACAGAGGAATGCGGACGAANAATCTGATTGACAGGCAACCTCGTCTCTGGCCGAAATGAAGATATCTCCAGGCTATTTGTTTCAACTATTCAGAAGTCCACAGAGGAAGTGCGGACGAAGAACTCAGTGTGCATCCTAAAATGTCGGGCGTGGGAATTAGGGAAAGAACCGTATACCTACAGGGCTACCTGAAAGTACGCTAACGCCTGTGAAGAGATAGCAAAAACAGACGGCGTAATATACCATCCAAGGGAGAATAATCCTTACAGACCTTATCTCCATTCGTCACTGCTGAGAACCAATGAAAAAAATCGAAACCGTGCGCCATAGGAGATGAACGGCTCAAAATAAGAGTAGGTATTATTATCCTTATGCATGGTCAAACGCTCGGCAGGCAACACTAAGGATATATACAACACTAGAAGACAACCAGACCGCATGTATCAACTTCTTAGTTCGGAGTCTACGGATAAAAACCGGTAGCCAAAAACAGCACCTCACTTAGTGTTTCCTCTGGCCGGTTTCTTCGCCCCAGGTTTGTTTGGTGGAGCATAATCCAACGTCCGAACTTCTTCCTACAAAAAACAAGAGGTTGGAAGTAAAGTAGCACTCACACAGGAGGATCCCTCCCAAGAATATCCATCAGCTGACATAAAAGGAGTGACTAAAACAATGAAATAGCAATCGTTTAGCTGAAGCGTACTTTCGGCACATGGATGCCATGTGACCGGACTGGTTGAGATAGACCGAAAAAGTCGAAAATCTGGGGTTCAGTTCGACCTACGGATCTTTTCGACAGCAGCTTCAGGCCCCAACCCTGAGCTACCTGAACCTCAAATAGGTAAATAACTTGAGTATGGTGCCCCTCATAATACAATTAAGGAACATTATTCAGCAGCTCATTCAGTACTTGAAAGGTTCGGTCGATTGGTCTGAGTAACTAGATGACTTCAGAACCTGCTTCTTCTCAGCAAGGCCAAGAAACAAGTAAATACTACGAAAATGTAAGCTTCGAATGTGGAACGGTTGCATTTTTAATTGTCATTTTGTAGTGGTAAATACGGAAAACTGAGCGGCCAGGTAGTTGACTACTTTACACGGTGCGACCAGTCACGTATGACTTGTGTGCAGCGCATGTCACTACCCAATTCTACGCATTAGCATATCCCCACATACGGAAAAGCTCTATAGTTGGGAGATTCACGGACGTATTCTCAACCACTGATGGGTCGGTATCCCAAACGCATCCCGTAACAGGATTGAACGAAATCAGAACAAACGTGACACGTCGTATTTATATCATTCAAAAACTGTACTGTGCGACAAGAGAATCAGGTAGACGCGGTTGCTTGATTCATTAATGTTTCAGTCAATTGTATCACGTGCTTTCACCAACAACGCTGGCGTAGTCACCACCACCATCATAGCCGATACGTTTATACCCGCTTCTCTTTCAAAGTCCAGAGCAGATGTACTGTGGATCTACCAGTTCGATTCTCAGGTCCTAAACTAGTATCGCTGAAGTGATTACTAAGTGCTTTCAGTACTCTGGCCCCTACTGCATTGAATTGCAGGTATTAGGCAAATTTAATCATGTCCAGGTTAGATACGTCTACGCTGAGAAGTCCAGTAGCTGCCTCATCCTTGCTAGAAACCGGCAACAGTGAAACTTTCCGGAAGTTGTAGGAAAATTCGGGCTCAAAATTCTCCGAATAGTAGTCTAATCCTAATTTTCGGCTCTGGTAGACTGATCAGCAGTGAATCATCCTGCGCATAGACGGCTCCTGCGTCACTTACACAACGTACAGTCTATATCGAGTGACTTATATCCGTCGGACTACTTCTTAGAGGAAGGTCCAGGTGAAATACCGGACACTACCCTTTCTGAAAACAACAAAGTTTGCAAACAGGTGGCTCGGTAATAGCATAATGATAATGATAACAATCATTCGGCTGCATCACTCTTTCAGTGGACAGCTACCGAGGTACCCGAAGGAAACACAAGAACTGGGAGACTTCCTAGACAAGAAGAGTCAGGATGCCCGAAGTTGAGTTCAAAACACAGATCTTCCGGTGAGTAAGTTCGCGCTTTAACCACTAAGTTATTTCGAGCTAGTGGGGAGGTTAGCTTGTTGTGCTCTTTCAACCGAGAACGAGAAAGAATAAAGCTATAACCAAGGCTTGGAGTGGATTGCAGCCTAGGAAGCTGAGACCCATAGAACTAGAGTGGACACCATTCTCACACTCAGAATAAAACATAAATAATTAGGTGGATATGGTAAACCGACTAACCTCGATATTCTCCATGTACTTGTCCAACGGATCATCTGAATCCGAGTCAGAAGTGGACTTTTTGCCTTTCCCGTCGGCTGGACTACCTGGAGCCGGCTGATATTCCAAGCCTCCCTGGTCATCCTCCTCCAGAAAATAGCTAGTTTAAAAAATTGTGCCAGTGAAAATCGCTGTACTGAGCAATGCCATCACCAGTAATACAAGAAAAATTCGGATCGACGTATCCTTTATAATCCAACTTACATATCTGTGGCACACAAAAATGATTGAGGGACATAAAATTAGTTGTATTCGAGTGAGTAAAAACTCTGGTTCGAACCCGACCTCTGCCACTCGACTTCCCCTGTCTAGGCTTGGGCGACCTGGCAGTATCTCAGCCCTCGTGCCTCCTTCATGTGGCATGGCAGCTAGGCACTGAAAAGGTGCTACAGCTGAACGACTTTTTTATTTTTTTTCTATTTTGATCACTAACACTGGTCACTTCGTTATTCCAGTTATTCTCATCATAGCCGAACTGGCGGTGGCGCTATAGCGGTGGCCGCTCTGATACACTCAGTTGGCATTCCTCATCTACTATCCTAAAATGAAGCAAATTGTGTGATATTGTGGAGGAAAACGGCTGAACCGGTGTTTCTCTGCATTTTTTCAATGTAGCAGCGCGTAAGTAAAAAATCAACCTAAATTAGACAGATGGGCTTTTCACCAGATGAGATGTGTGAAAGCCGGATGCATCCACCCAACCAGAGCCTGGATCAAGGACATTAGAGACAAGAAATGTTCACCCGTAGAGTGAAAGACTTCAAAGGTAGCAGTCAGCCCGAACATTCAGCCAATAGGTGGCCTGAGGATTAACTACTCCCTCCGTATGGACGCAAAAATCACAGGCACCGGTTGAGGCCAACTGAATTGAAGGCTTCAGCCAGTACACGTACTCAGCCAAGACTACGACGTCTCCAAAAGTAAACGTTACATAGGCCACGTGGTGAAACAGTTTCCTGTTCCCCTGAACTAAAGTATAATGTCACTGAAACCACCCAGTTAGTCAAGTGCAACACTGAATGTTAAACGCCCCAAGTGACTTTGATCACAAAACCCAGCGAACTTTCGTTGTCCATGTGGTTTAGACTGAATCTACAACAGGCACCGGAATAGCCTTTCTCAAACGTACAGTCGACTCTACTGTACCGCCAAAACCAACCACTCAGCTACCAGTCGGGTGTACATGTTCGTCAACTTGGCTCATCTTCAGCCAACCCAACACACTGCCATCGCCGCTCACAATGATTCGACTGCGCAGCCTCCGGATGTCCAACGTGCGAACCAAACCTGAGAGGGCCAGTCTATTGGCCTATCCCCTCCCGAAGCCGAGCATTATTCGGACCCAACGTGCTAGTCGACCGACCTGAAATGTTTGCAACGTAGTAGACAAAGTGTGGGCGCACTTGTGCACCAATGAATACAAGGTCGTCTTCAATTGCAGTATTTGTCCAACATTGTGATCCAAGTGAGCAGCTAGTCACTGGTCACGTTAGTGCAGCAAAACTTAACACAATTAAATCGAACAATCCTTAATACATAGAGCCGTTGGTGGATTATATGACGCTATGCTTATGTACGTATTTCCACTGGCCAAAAAACGTGATTGAACCTTGCATACGGCGAGCCTCTGCGGTACATACGCCCAATACGATCTACCTAAAATATCGTTCAGCTGTAGCACCCTTTCGGTGCTTAGCTGCCATACCGACGGAAGGAGGCACGAGGGCTGGGATACTGCCAGGTTGCCCAAGCCTAGACAAGAACAGCCAGGATGCTGAGATTGGATTCGAACCAGAGATCTTCCGGTCCGTAAGCTGGCGCCTTAATCAATGTCTCGAGCTCCTGCCTACGGACATATCTGAATGAAATTCTAGGGGACTAGTTAGCAAAAGGGAACAATTCGCGGTCGAGCTGGTTGGCATGATATCCGTTCGAAATATTGAATGGAAAGTTGGAAAGAGCATAAAGCTTACGCGGGAGTCCAAATTCAGGGATTACAGTAGTTATTTCGGACGCCATTGTCAGTAATGGTGAAAAAGTGAAAGAAGCAATGCCATACTGCCGCGCAGCCCTAAATAATCTTCATATGGAGGCAAGTTGTCTCATTTTCGAAGAAAGCGGATGGCGGCCCGACAAATGATAACCTAAGGAGAAACGTCCATGAGAACTTACTCCTCCTCATCAGCTATACGCTTGCGTCCGAGATTAGCAAAAGTCCTCGACGAAGCGCTGCCATGGGACGGAACCAGAGTGGTCTGTTTCGCGATGATCTCGTTTGGGTCACAGTATTCACGCTTACCCCGGTTAACCGAGGATGGGGGTGGAATCGCTGCGCCTCCAACTCGTACGCCGTCGGCAGCCAGAGCGCTGCTGGAATAACCAGACCTAAAGTAATCACCGGGACCTTCATCACGGATCCGGCTGGTGGATAGGCTTCCATGGGGTCCTGATGGGGATATGAAGTTCATGCCCCAACGTCCACCCCTTTGTCTTCCAAACGACATAATGTCTAAAAGTTAGAAGCCATTAATCAGAATGATGGACGGTATAGCTATTCGAGACTAAGTGGAAGACTAACATGAGCGAGAGATTAGCGAGATTGCCAAGGTTACGGCTGGAGTTCGTGTGGCTATGCATATAATCTGTAAAAACTGTAAAATAAGACGGGAAGCTACATCTAAACTGTGGGGGAGTGTTCGGAAGGATATGTCGATGAGGCCATGCACGTGGTCATTCACAAGTTGGTAGAGTTACAGGACGTCCTTTGGATGGAGTGGGCGATGTTCGTTGTAGTCACGAAGAGACTGGTGCGGCGGTCAGTGTACCTCCGCGCGACACTCACAGGGTCTCACCACGTTGATTGGATGGAGTGGGCGATGTTCGTTGTAGTCACGAAGAGACTGGTGCGGCGGTCAGTGTACCTCCGCGCGACACTCACAGGGTCTCTCATACCACGTTGATCAACGGTTAGAGGACTGGTGAACAAAGCCTCCTGATCCCCCATGTCGGGTGTTGGAACATGTGTCGCAACGTAGTTGCATGTCCAGCCTAATATTTCTGCCTTGCGGTTAGGCTTTAGAGCTTTGGTTATCCTGTCTAGGTGTGGGCGCCCTGGCAATATCCTGGCCCTCATACACCATGACATTTAGAGCCAACAATACTATCATGCCAAATCGGTCGGGTCACCTTACTTGCTGCATAGGGTTCTCAACCAAAACCTTTGGCTCAAACGCCTAACCTCAAGGCAGCGGTGCTTGGCGGGAAATGCAAATTTATTACCATTTCTACGGAACAAGTCACCACATGTTCCAACCCCCAACCTGGAGGGCCAGGTGACTGTGTTCGTCAGACCTCTAACCATTGACCAACCTGGGATGAGAGACTGTGTGAATGTTGCGGGGACACCCTTCAGTATAGATCAATGGGTCGTTGAGGTGCACAAACCGTTAAACCACGGTAAGGTCCAGTCCCTTCGTGATGGTCAACAGGTGGCTCTTGTTGGTATGCTGGATTCCCTCTCCATTGATGTAGGTTGGCCGTCAGAAACGAGGATACAGGACGCAAGTACTGCGATCGAACTGACTGCCTCTCACTCTTTCAGGCCCCTGCTGCTTGATTCTGGTGATGCACAGGTCACTGCAGACGGGGGTGCTGGGGTGGGTATTGCATTGAGCGAACAAGCGGAAGCGTCCCTGCTTGACTGGATACCCGTTGATAGTCGCCTCTGTGCAGTTCGTTTGGCAAAATCTGTGAGAGACTCTAGAGGAAGTGAGGTTCATCAAACTCTGTTTATTGTGTCTGCTTACGCCTCAACTAACTGTAGCTCTTCATCCGCCAAGGACAGTTTCCATGACGCTCTAGGTGCCCTTCTACAACAAGCTAAAAGCTCAGATAACGTTGTGGTTGCTGGTGATATGGACGCCCAGGTAGGTAGACTGGGCGCTTCTGAAGCCCGACTGGGTGGTCGTCTTCGATTACAATCGGTGCGCAGGGAAAACGGTAATCGCTTACTTCAGAGGTGTGCCGATCACAGGCTGTTCCTTTGCAGTACGAATTTCCGGAACAGCGGAAATCGATTGATAACGTGGTGCCCACCATCAAACCAGCGCCGAGTCCAAAGTAGACCCCATCGCCGTCAGTTGGTGGCGAGGGTCGATCACCGCCTACCGCTCCTTCGGGAACACCAGCGTGGACTCGGACGCTGATGCTTTTCAATGAGCTTTTAAGGTGTACGCAAAACGCGCACACCCCGCTTAGCCAGTGAGAAGCTAGTGGATCCAGAAGCCAAACGAAACTACCAGAACCAACTCCTCGAATGCCTGCCGAACGGTACGGTGTCGGATATAAACGGCCAATGGGAAAAATATCCAAAGCGTAACTCAAAGCCAGAATATCCGCTTGCGGTACAACCAAGCCAACCTCATCCAAGCATCGGATCTCTGATAGGACCGTGTCTTTGCTGGAGACCAGGCGATAGATTCCACCTGGCCGCCACCACAACTCAACACGGCGCATCATCCGACGCCAGGTGAAACTGAGTGTCCACACAGACCGAGA